GTTGGGTTTAGGGCTTTGGGCTTTTACCCCATCCACGTAAAACATGCATAATTGGACCAGTATGGCATTATCTATTACAAGGGTGGGGCTTATTATCTGAACGGCGGAGGAAGAAATAGGAAAGTTGTGCAATGATGATATGATGAATACAATTGACGCTGGAAAGTTGGAACCTGGTTTTAAGAGCACTTGGCCTGGAAAGGCCAAGTTCCAAACTTCAATTTTCCAAGTTCCAACTTTAGATTGTTGCACCTTGGCCTACGNNCCCCCCCCCCCCCCCGCCGATATGAACTTGGCCTGCTGTCAGATTTCAAGTTTAATTTATTTCCAGGAATCCACTGATTTGGTACATTTAGCAATTTGCGCCCGGCATCGGGCCTCCTTGGGCTGCTTGTGCATGTCTTCAGTTTGCATGCGTGCTCTTTGCACAACAAGCACGAGCCCGAACTCTCTTGGTCCCGAACATGATCAATGGAATCGACTTTCTTTATAAAGTTTCAACCTGAAGTTGGAATATTTTGAACATGGATCCCAGAAATTTAAGTTGGAACTCGATATTTTCTACCGGGGAAGGTACGGGCAAAAAATATTGTGCTACGTAGCCATCCTTGCCATGCATCACATGCGATTTTCGTCAAATCAGACACGGTTCAGGGTTTAGGGACTTCCCCACTCCAATCCCCACATAGGGGCCTGTCAAGTTTGGAAGGTTCCCTGCAAAGAGCATTATAGAGCACATAGGCGTATGCAACGGGGTCCCTGCTTCGGAGAAGTTTCTACACGGTTTGAGCTTAACGCAGAAGCTTGAATGATTGCCGGCGCTACTCCCAGACATTGCTTCTAGCATAATTCGCCCCCAAACCCCATTAAAGTTATCTGGGCCTCTACAGCTAAAGAGCAGACCAGCCAGGGATGATCTAGGAAACGTCAAACCTTACCCACCAGACCACGAGGCTTCATTCGTGAATGTGGAAATCTACCCCTCCAAACTAAACTCCAAGTCCTAGGGCCGTAGCCAACCTGTAAACCCTCGTTCTTAAACTCTAAAGCCTTCGACTTAGATTGGACGTCGTCAATGACGTGACGTGAAATTATTTAGTTGACCCTAAATTTCAATCAATAATTGAATTAGTAAATTATTCAATCACCTAGTCAGTTACTTGATTAATCAAATACTTAATGACGAAACGTCCCGCTCACGGGGACCAACAGCCTAGACCCCAATCAACCTAAACGTTTCCATCCTCACTCGACCCCATTAACATGGAACCTCAAAAGGGCCTATATAGACTACTGTCCTCCTAGAAGGGGGTTGAACGCATGAATTTGCGAAAGCGTCGAAGAAAGTACATCAGAAACTCTAAGCCCAAAAGCCAGGAGCAGCTCAAAGACGTGGAAGCTATCAAGGCCAACAACGGTTCCTTCGCTGCCCTTCGAGACTTGGTTAGGCCCTACACCCAACACCATAGCCCAACTCCCTAGACGCCAATGAACGGGCTTGCTGCTAAGGAATCTGCATTGAATTCCCATATTAATATGGGTATACAATATATAATGGGGTGGCCTTATTATAGTAACTTAGTTTAAGTTCCTCAACAGCAACCCAGTCAAGGGTGTAGGTGTAGGGATTTGGTGTCTAGGGCAAGCAGACTGACACGATCTGACCTCCATATCCCACATCCATCCCTATTTGCCCTCAGGGTCCCTGAGGGCACCTTTTCTGGTGGAAGCTCCCATGTGTCAGGGGTTCTTGCAGCAGCTTAACCGCATACAAGCCGGACATCTCAAAACTAGAAGTGAGACCTCAATATCTGATAATAGCCGCTGACGCTCAGTTCAAGTTACTATACTGGGGAAATACCCATTATGGTAACTTGATTTAAGTTCCTTAGCAGCAGCCAGTCAATTTTTTTCCCAAAGATGTAGCAGTAGGAGTTGCAGCGGCCATCGTGGCGGGGAAGATTCCTCCCCCCACTTTGCGTCCGTGGGATGTTCTATCACAGATCTTAGGAATCTCTGGTATGCTGTTGGATACGGCTGTGTAGAATTGCGGATGGGGTGTGGAGCTTCGAGCAGGCCAAGAGTACCTCGTAAGATTCAGGGTTTAGGTTGTTTGGTTGATTTTGGGGAAATGAGAACGGCAACTTTCAGCGGGAACCGCTCACGCACATGATAGAGACTTAGAATTCTTAGAAGGGGCACGCTTTTTGGGTAGACATTTCTATGAACACCAATGAGGTCGGGAATGTGTCCCTTTGCTCATTAAGCTGCGCACGTTTCATTTGGAACAGACCATGTCCAAAGCTCCTCTGCCACCGCATAGTAGAATCTGCGTGGTAGGGGCTTCCCCAAAGTTAATTTGCAGATAATCTGGCTTGTCCGAATGTGCCAGCATTGGTGCTGCCAATTTCTTGGCGGCCCTACACCCTAAACTTTCTGGCTTACATGGGGGAGTGGGGAGAAAATGAAGGCTTCATTTCTGCGAACTATATATGTATACACACGTATGGGCTATATTAATAAAGATCCTCTCCCCAAATCTTCCGTCAGCATCAGTAAGTGGGCCCTCGCGTCCTTGCCTTCTGCGTGACAGAGTTGGGGGGCTGATGTAAACACAACTGACATGGATCAGGGTTTAACGTTCTGGGCTTTAAATTTAGGGTTTTACCTCTAGAGAGTGTGAATGAACAATCTGACTGCAGGGATTCCGCCATGAGTCCCCCAATAAATATATAATCCCCTCATAACCATTATGGTAGCTTCCATTTTCTTTTCCATTATCCCAATTATAGGGTATATACTCCCTTTTTAGATCCTCAGGCAATTACGCAAGGGATTGCGCCACGAGCCTCCTTCAAGAACATCACGCAATGCACTTAGCCACCAGCTGCACTTGAAGATGTTAGGAAAGCGATTCAGCTCCCAGAATCCGTCCCGCTCGAAGACAAGTTCGCATCCTTGATAAGAAAATTACGCGAGAAATCTAGCCACCACTCTCTCTCGAGTCTTTTTGAAGTCAACGGACCTTCAGCTCCAAGCACTAGCAGTCCAAAATTGGAGTTTCCCAAAATGAAGGAGCCCAAAGGCTATACTAAATGTCTTCAACGCAACGAACCTCACAAAGGGGTTACCGAAGACTTGCAATTTTTTTGGACATTCGCAACTCCAGCTAAGGAAAGGACGGCTCAGTTGTGACGTGGGGCTTGCGCAAGAAACTGGGAATGATTTGGAACGCGCTTTGTTTCCCACTGTATCCCGATGTGCTCTAGAAGTATGTCACCTCTCCGTGGGGGGTTGGGGGCGGGGTAGGCATATAGATACCATGACGGTCGTCTGTAGGGATAACAAGGGATCCCTCCCTTCGGCGCCCAATCCCAAACCGTACACCCAAAACCTGAAACCTTACCCTTCTACAGCCGCAGGAAAGGGGGTGACTGCCGAGCAGCTTGACTTGATCAGCCCTCAGATACCAAGTAAAGATGCCAGCTATAGAGGCTATAGAGGCCCTTTGGCAAACAGGCTGGGAAACCCCATAGGAATGAATACCCAGGACCTGCCAAATCCTGGGTTGCTCTTAAGGAACTCAAATTAAGTTACCATAATGGGTATATATATAGTAAATAATAGGGTTTCCCCCAATATAGTAACTTAATTTAAGTTCCTTAACAGCAACCCAGAATACGTAGGTGTAGTTTTCCACCAGCCCCTAATGGTCCAAGGAACCCGAATAATAGGGTCCCTTTAAAGGG